CACTTAAGGCAGTAGTTCTGAATAAGGTTTCAAATTACTATATTTACAAATATAATACCTATATGTTAATCGTCATTTATTTCCTCTTTCATCCTCCCCTCCAAAATCACAAATAACTGAAAAACAATTTTAAAATTCTTCTTTATCACTGCAAAGTTAACCACACAATATCTGAAGAACTGATACTCTGGAATTGTTTTCTTCTTCTACAATTACCACAAAGACAACATTTTAGACCTTCTATTATGAATGTAATATAACAACAATTGTACACAAAGAACATACTATGAGAATTCTCAAGCTAACTACATGAACATGCATAGTGAAAAGAATTATTTTCTATTAAACATTCATATAGATAACATGCCTTGTTATTTACAAATAATGACTTCTGCAAAACATAGTAAAAGGAACTTCCTCAGCATTGAAAAAAACAGACCAGTCAGTCAGACTGCAGAACTGCCTCTAGTCGGCATACTCACAAACCCTTACAGCTTATGCAAGCAAGAATCCTGTTCTCTTCTGACTCTGAGAATGGTGGGTCAGAGGCATCTTTGGGCTAAATGACAATTTGTAGAATGAAATATCAAACAATTATAAAAAAAAGTATTACCAAAGCATGACCAGACTTTGTGAAAGTAATTTTTTATTAATACAGATTATAATTCCTTTAACCTTAAAACAAGCCCACATAAAACAACCTCTTGGCTCTTTTTCCTAACACTTGATGATCACATCTTATGCTGGGAAAGTTTTTATAACTCGTATTGCGAGAAAACACTGAAACTGCCTAAAAAGTTCACTGAATAATTAGCTTAATCCGATGGATTTATTTCTCAGAAACGACATTAAAGTCAGAAATAAGTATAACAATATGAAGGAAGAGGAGGAAAACAAATATTACAGAAGCTTAGTGTAAGGAATAATATTGCTACAATCCTGTATGGTTTAAAATGAATTGTCAGAAGTATTCTTGATTTATATAAAATACTTATTTCAGCTAAAATATTCAAAAAGTCTATAGGCACATTTAATCAAATAAATTTCTATGTATTTCAGAAAATTATATTTTCATACTGCTTTGATATTCTCAGACATAAAAGTACAATATGTTCATATGCTCAGATTTAAATACCTGCTGCTCATTATCACAGAATCATAAAATCAACCAGGTTGGAAAAGACTTTTAAGATCAAGTCCAACCTTCACCCCAGGACTGCCAAATCCACCACTAAACCATGTTACTGAGGGCCTCATTTTTTTTTTAACACTTCCAGGAACAGTGATTCTACCACTTCTCTGGGAAGCCTGTTCTAATACCTGATCACCTCAGTGAAGATATTGTTCCTAATATCCAACCTAAACCTCCCCTGGCATCACTTGTCCCCATTACCTCTCTCCCTATCACTCGCTACTTGGGAGAAGAGACCGATCCGCACCTCACTACATCCTCCTTTCAGGTAGTTGTAGAGAGTGGTAAGATTCCCCCTGAGCCTTCTCTTCTCCAGACTGAATGACCTCAGTTCCCTCAGCTGTTCCTCATCACACTTGTACTCCAGACCTTTCACCAGCTCCATTGCCCTTCCCTGGACCCACTCCAGCATCTCAGTGTCTCTCTTGTAGTGAGGGGCCCAAAACCAAACACAGCAGGGTGAAGCCTCACCAGTGCTGAGTACAGGAGGATGATCACTTCCCTGGTCCTGCTGGCTAAGCTATTTCTGATACAGGCCAGGATGCTGTTGGCCTTCTTGGCTGCCTGGGCACAAACTGACTTATGTTCAGTGGCTGTCAATCAGCATCCCCAGGACCTTACATTAATCTGAAGATAAAAGTCTACATATTTAACATACAGCAGACTGAAATGCACTTCATACACTATCGTTCTCGCTTTTTTCTGTATATTATCCCAGTATATGTTTAACATTACCCACACAAGCAGGATCCCTGAGCTTGCAAATCCAACATCTGTACAGTCACACTGTACATCAACACCAGTATGACATAAATTTGAGTTCTGTAAATGACGATACCTTCAGAGCGCATGAATAGGCCTTTTCTCCTACATTAAAGGATGTCGGATCATCATCATCCAGATTTTCCCAAATCCTAACATCTCCATCACTGCCACAAGTTACAATGCAGCTGTGGAAGGACATGAGATACGTTAAAATTCAGGAATGGACAAGACAGTCACTGTGACTTTCAATCACAAAATGAAAATATTACTAAAATGTTAGGGGGTGACGGGTTTATATCAAAACACAATTCACACAATGCAATACAGTGAATACTTACATTTATTATGTCTAAGTAACTTATTAAACATGAAGGGAGGGAAAAGTCAGGTCTGGGTAGCATAACACAGTACCACGAGTCTCTGACAACTGCCTAGGCCTGGCACTCATCTGAACTGACCCTTAGATATTACTGGTCAATCCACTTTTTTCCAGAATTAAGAGTGAATTTTTCAAAAGACTTAATTAGTACCAATTTCTCCCAGAACTGGGTATTTAACTGCCTCTTAAGACTTCATAATCAGCTGTAAGGTAAGTTTTCAAAGGTCAGGACAAAACTAAGAGTGTTAATGCTTACTTGAGTGAAGTTTAACAAGCTTAAGATGTAGGCCTGGGCCTACAGAACCCTTGAAAAATAGTAAATATGAAATTCAAGTTTGATGGGGTTAACTTTCACAGTTTTAATGCAGTAAACAGTAACCTGAAGTCACAGGGCAAATATACAGAAGTTTGTGTGGAATTTTTAATCAAAGACATCATGAATCTATAACCAAGACTTGCATTCTTTCAAAAGTTGTTTGCAGTCCCAAATAAAACTAATTAAGCAGCAAAATGTTACAAAGCCAGTGGTAAAGCTGTGACATTGCTCTTCTCAGTTCTGTAATGTCTATACATTGACAGCAACACAACACTGTGCTGATATTGAGTATACTGATGCTAGAGAGTCCGGCAGTAGTGGACCAGTGGTATCTGGCAGAGATGTCTGCACCCATTTTTATTTGCATTGTAATGGCAAACGAAGCTTTTTGTGGTTTCAATGGATTGTTATTATACTAACTCTTAACAGTAGTTTTTGTACCAAGTCTAATGAACTAAAGAAAGGCATAAGATACTTTAGACTTCATAGAATCACAGAATGATAGAATGGTTTGGGTTGAAAGGAGACCTTAAAGCCCCCCTGCCACAGGCAGGGCCACCTTCCACTAGACCAAAGCCCATTCCAGCCTTGTCTTGAACACTGACAGGAATGGGGCAGCCACAGATTCTCTGGGCAACCTGTGCCTGTGCCTCACCACCATCTTAGAGAAGAACTTGCTCCTAATGACTCATCTAAAAAAAAAAAACATTAAATTTTAAAGCCATTCCATCTCGTCCTATCAAGGAACTTAAGCTATACTCAGAAAACTTACCCTTTGAGTTCATTTTGAGAGGGCTTGCTCCCTTGTTTACCTTTTATTTTTAATCAATAAAAAGATAATAGCAAACATTTAGCTCGTATTTATACATTTAAATCTAGCATAGGAATAAAACAAAAAGAAAGCAAGCCCAGTACTGGAATTCTTCACCTATATTTTTAATTTCTCAGTGCATATGTGAACGTATTTACTCCCACACTACAACGATTTCTGCTAGATTCTAAGAAATCATTTATAAAAGGCACATATAGAGTTTATAAATATACACACATATATATATGCTAACATTTAAATTATAAATCAATCACTTCAACACTCAGGTCATCAAAATATGTCACATTGCCAGTTCTCGACACAGGCAAAACTCAAAAGGATTTCCCAGACCAAGCCAGGTCATAAACTCATGCACAGAAGCAGCTGGTGAACTTTTGGGAAAGCAACAGACAGAAGCAAGAGCATTTCCTCTTCCAGAATACACTTCATCCTGGTTTCTAGGAATTACTGATTTGTTTCTGGAAAGAAGGCAGCTCCAGGGAGACGTTAGAGCAGCCTTCCTTTAGGTACCTAAAGGGACCGGCAAGAAATCTGGAGAGGAGCTTCTTACAAGAGCATGTAGTGACAGAACAAGGGGGAATGGCTTTAAACTGACAGAGGGGAGACTTAGATGAGATGTTAGGAAGAAGTTCTTCCCTGTGAGAGTGGTGAGGCACTAGCACAGGTTGCCCAGAGAAAATGTGGCCGCCCCATCCCTGGCAGTGTTCAAGGCCAGGTTGGTCAAGGCTTGGAGCAACCTGGTGTAGTGGAAGGTGTCCCTGCCCATGGCAGGGGGTTGGAACTGGATGAGCTTTGAGGTGTCTTCCAACCCAAACCATTCTATGACAATTAGGCAGTTACCTCCCAGTGTCATTGAAGCAGACGTCCGTGTGGCCTTCGGTATGGCCGTACCGCATTGGCTTTAGTGCAGATGGCATCTTCACTCTCACCTATTTATTTAGTAGGATAAAAGACAAATAAAATTAACTGAAAGGAAAAGCTTCGGTCCGAGCCTCAGACAGGGTCAGAGGGCAGGGTCAGAGGAACACAGGGCTCGGCCACCAGCTGTCCACAGCTTGGCCTAAGCGGGTTAGAGCCGGGCACATGTCCGAAACGGGCCTGCACCTCCTTACATCGAAAAGGCCAGGCCGTGGAAACGAATGAAGAAAGAAAAGAGGGGAAAACCGGGTTACGGGGGGGGGGGGGGGGGGGGGGGGGGGGCGGACCGCCTGCCGGGGCCTGAGCCTCAGGCGGTCAGAGCAGAGCTAGGCCAGACTACCCACCGGCCCTGGCAGGGACCCCCTTACCCCCCAGGAGGCCGCAGCTCCCCCAGCTCCGCCCGCCAAGGCAAAGGAAGGCCGGGGCCGCACTACCATCCACTTACCGCCTACAAGCCCGCCACCCGCTTCCAGCGTTCCCGCGCCCGGCACTGCCGCCCGGCCCACCCTGGGGCCGGCCTCGGCTCGTCAGAGCCCGGGGCGGGGCTGCGCCCAGGCGGGGCCGGGGCTGAGGCCGGCCCCGGCCCGCCGGCAGAGAGGGGATGGCGGCGACAAGCGCTGCTTGGGCCGCCTCGCAGCGATTCAGCTCCGGCGGCTGAGGGCACCCGGCGCTGCCACCGCCTCGACCCAGCCGCTGCGAGAGCTCGCACACTGTGGAGGTGCCGGCTGCCTTCTTCCTCCTCCTCGCCCCGGGTCAGGCCGCCCTACCCGGCTGAGAGAACGACTTGGGCGGCGAGCGGCTCCGCCGGGTAGGGCAGCCCAGCGCGAGCGGCCGCTCCCTCCGGGCGATCGTAAGTCGGGGTCGGGAGGAGCCGGGCGGGCGGAGGCTGAGGCGGCGGCGGCCCGGTCACCGGGTGGGCTCGGTCCCCGCTTTTGCTGTGGAAAACTGTGTGTGGGTGCACACCGGTGTATATATCTTAATGTATGAAGTGCATCTGCATTTACTGTATATGCTTACTTACGTTTAATGGCAGAGCCTCAAGAGGCACAGGGATCGCAAAGAAAGCCTAAATGAGGGGCAGTGTCCTTCATCCCCCCTTAGCCAAAATCCCCATAACAACCAAGTGTTGCAGAGAGGTCGGGGGTGTTCCGGCCCGAGTAAAGGCTGCAGGATCAAACCCATTTGGCAATCGTTATGGTAATTACGGAATTACGCTGTAATTACAGCCATCCCGATGCGTGTGCTAGATGCAGTTGACAGTGGTTGTAGTTAGGCAGGTAGCGACTGCGCTGCAAAAATCATTAAGCTTTCATGCGCTGAAAAATAGGACGAAAACATCGTGGTTTAATTTGATTTATTTCTTGAAGGACAATAAAATGTTAGAGCTCAACACACCTGAAATAAGGATAATAAAAGAAACCAAACCCGAGTTACGTGTTTTCCCTTTATGTAGCTTTAATGATCTGTCCCAGTTTATTCTTATTTCTAAGAAAAATTGCTCCCAGGCAAACCCCTTTTACCTTCAGTTTTGCTCTGCCGCAGTTACCGGTGATTGGGGTGAGCAGAGTAATTTCTATTGGAAATGTGGTTGGGCTCTCTGTAACAGCCACATCGTCGGTACTTTCATGAATGAGTAAGTGACAGCATTACAAAGCAGGCACGCTTCTCTTTAACAGAAAAAATATGCCCAGATTTCATTATTAAACCTCGTGGCTGCCGTGTAGAGACATGTTTTCCATGGGTGTCTCCTGACATATTTCAGTAAATCGTGATTTCTGGTGAGGATATAGTGTTCTAGCAAAATGATTGGAGTTCAACTGTGTATTAGATGAGTGGGAAGACCGAGCTATTCTTACTGCAGTCTTAATGTAAGCCACTGCCTGGGACAAACGCATGTCAACTGCATTTATTTGTCTTTATTATTTTAATTTGCAGAGACTCTCATGCGAACTGTACCTAAAATATTTTACAATATAAAAGCCATTTTAAATTCGGTTCTATTTAACAACTAAATTCATTGTTTCAAGGTGCTTCCTGCTGGAATAACTCTCTGGCACGGGAAGACTGGGGGGAGGTTTTTCGGGTGGTGCGGGGATTCCACGGCTATTTGGCCAAGGGACTGCAGGCCTTGTGGTTTGCTCACGTCTGAGGTGGCACGGCATCAAATGCAAAGTTATTCTTTAAATCCGGTCAGGAACTCAACCTGCTGTTGACTTGATTAATAGGTGTAAGTGGCTGCGAGTGGAGCAGCAGGGCGGGAGCCGGGAATCGCGCTGCTCTCCTACTCGGTTTCTGGGTGGAGCGTGAAGTGTTGGTCACGGACCATAAAGCTTTTACTGATATAGTGTTTGAGAGGCTGCTGTGGTCTGGCAGGCGCTGCGTGCGTCTCTCCTTCTGCACATGAGCAGCCCTCACCTTTGGAACCTGCTTCCAGATGACTTCCACCTCCTGGGTATGGGTAGAACAGTGTTGGGGTTAGATGGGCATGGTCGCATTGCCGCCCTCCTCCTGCAGGTACACGGACCCAGGGCGAATCAAGGGTATTCCAAGGAAGAAATATTGTAGGTTAATTACCACCGGTACCTTTAGACAATCGCTTTCTTGTGTGAGTGCGATTATTGCTTTAATTGGCTGGAAGGGCCTCTGGAGGTATTTTTGGATGGTATCATAAATCAAAATAAGCATTGTTAAAACTGAAGAAAAATAATTTCAGACAGAGGAATTGAGACTTAATGTTATCCTTAATCGGCTGGGCTTTTTTCCAAAATAAGTCAGTAACAGCTCAACTTCAGTGGGAAGGTCAGATTTTAAAATGCGGTCTTGTGGCAAAAATCTAATTGGTGAAATTAATGAAAATGGCGTGTGACTGTTAAGATTTTTTTAAAATAACTTTTATGCGAGTTGAAATTAAAAAGTTCTCCAGTTTACTGTAGCTTGCTCTTCTCTCTCAGGATTTTATTAGCTCTAGAAGAATATCAACTTCTATAACAATTCCAAGTCTGATTTATTGTTCCTTGTGTGAGTCTCCTTGTTTAAATAGAGGCATAATAAATCAGTGCTTTGGTTTTGTGTGCTTGAACAGAAGACTTTCATAAGACTTCTTTCACTAGAAGGGTCATGCAGCATGGGAGCACCAGAGAGGTGGTGGGACCTCTGTTCTCAGAGGTTTGCAGGACATGGCCAGACCAGGACATGGCTCCCCTGAGCCCACGCTGCCAGCAGTCTGCTTCCAAGCATGAGGGAGGGCTGGAGACACGCCATCATCTGCTGCTTCGTTATACTGAAAGGGAAGTAGTTTAATGAAGACTTGGAGGTACTGGGTAGAGGCAAGGATTCAGTGGCTCATGACACAAATATCTAGTTAAAGCAATTCAGTATTTATTGAATAAATTAAAAAAGGAAGGTCTGTCTACACTTATGGCTTTGATTCTCCTATTGGAGTTATTGACTATTTGCTGCTGATTTAATTAGACATATGGTGAGGCTGTAACAGTTGTTGATTGCAGGCTACCTCTGGCTAGGAGGTAAAATTGTTATTGTCTCCAAATAGCTGCTAGATACGGCTTTCAGTTTGGGGTTAAGTCTTAGTGTTGAGGCATCAGTGCTTGAAAGAAAAAGCATCTTGTGCAGCCATCTGTACCCCCCCCCCCTCCCCCCCGCAGCCTGGCGAGAGACGTGCCTCTGAAGGAGGGAGCTGTGCACGTTTTAAAAACAACAACAAAATCCACCCAGCTCCGCTTGTCCTCAGGAACTGTAAGCTGTGACAGTGCTGGATAACCTTGAACTACAAGCCAGATCCTTTGGCCCGAAATGAACTCTGCTTATCCCTGCACGTTGCTTTATCTTTGCTCTTAGATATAAGAGTTTCAAGCATAAGGCTTTTGTCAAGTCTGCCTGCTTCTGAGATGCCTAAGGTATCCCCACATAGGTAAAGGCTTTTGTAGGCAGGAGACTAATTATATCTACCAAAGGATCTCAAAACAGTGTTGGACTCCTCCATTTAACCTTGCCTGTAGGGAAAAGTACTCTGTGTCTTCCCTCTTTTATCCTTGCCCTCCTATCCTGCTCTTTCACTTGCGTTCCAGCCATTAATGGATGTACGGTACACAGCATTTCCCCTGGACGTTTGAAGTGAAAGGAATAGCTGGTTTAGGTGCATAGCCTTAAGTGGCGATACCGCACTGAATGCCTTGCTGCACTTTATGCCTTTTTCTTTCTGTCACCCAAATTATGTTTGGTTCCCATTTTACTGGGCCTGTGAATCACGAATTTGAAAGGTTATGAAAGCATGACCCCTTCTTGGAATGCCAAACAGTGGGATCTGGGCACTTAAATACACTCTGACTGATGCGTGTTTCAGAAGGCAGCTTGCCTGTGAACACGAGGACATTTGCAACACATTTGGAAACAGGGGCTTTATCTCCTGACTCACAAGCTGACCATTGACCCATCCTTTACTCTTCCTTCACAAGGTCAAGTCCAAACCTGGTTTTTGTAGGATATCTCTTTTTCTTCATATATTCCATGCTCTTTTCACAGGTCTGGTGCTATGTCGGATTAGCAATTACTGCTCTGACAGAATTGGTGCCTCAGTTCCAGCAGTCTTCAAACCCCAGGGAAACAGCTCTCTGTGTTGCTGGCTAATGGGCCATGTCTTACAGCATCACGTGCTGTTTCTCCAGTTTAAGTTTCAGGGTTCAGGTACCACTAATGGCTCATGATAGAAGAAAGGTACAAAGTAGAAGGTGCCTTTATAGTTACATACAACAACAACAACCCAGGAATGACATGAACACTGAGCTTGCTTCAGTTGCAGACTGAAGTCAGGACATAACAGGCTTTTTGTACAAAACTTCTGGGTTTGTACATTTGGCAGTTTTTAATTAAAAGCCCATATTCTGCTTATTCTTATTCCTTATGTGGACTGAACATGTAGAATGAGATAGTTGAAGATTTTAAAAGCAATTACAGCCTGTCATATCCTAATTTTTAAGTACTTGACTTTGCAATCTCAGTGGTATCTCTCTGTCCAATTAAAAATCCCATATATAGGGAGTTAATGTATTTTACCACAGGATGAATCTAGAATAACTTTTTGTCTTCAGTTACTTCTAATTATCACCAGGGTAAATGAGATTTCTTTGTTTTCCTCTTTTCTAATTGTGGAGAAAATTCAGTGCTCTACTCTAGTTGTTTCTAGAATAAAAATATCAATGTTACAAAAGCAATCCATGAATCTTGGTCAAAATGTGTTTCGGGTCTCAGATAAATGAGACCTGTCAGCAGGTTTCTCCTATCTGCATTACATCCTGCAGTGTTTTCACTGAAAAGTGGTTTGCAAAATCCTGAGAAAAGAAAAAGAGATCTTTATTTTCAGCTTTGATTTGTAATCGCTGGAATATGGATCCCATTCTGTAATTCTGCTTGGTACCAGTGAGGTGCTATTCATCTAGACTGCTTTAATGCCAGCAGGTTTTCAACCTATTTGCAATATTTAACCTCTCTTACCCTCATTCTACATCTGTGCATCTCCTCCCTTCCCTTTCCTTTTCCTTTTCCCTACAGCTCTCAGGTTTGGGGGTTGTGAATAACGAATGGAACGTCCAAAATTCCTGGGTGAAAGTTACATCTAGGATGCATTTGGCCCACAGAGTGCATGTGAGCCTTTTGGCACAGCAGTTTTATTCTTTTACTGAAAGCAGAGGCTCGAACTCGGGCTGCACAGCCCCGGGGGACAGCAGAGAGGTTGTGTCATGCTGGCTAATCCTGATTGAATGGAGAGAGGAAGTGGATGCCCTTTTCTTTTCCTGCTTAGTATTTACCATTTCAATTAGTTAAAACAAAAAACCTAAACCAAAACATTGAAAAAACCCAAACACGCAACTAAAACCCCATAGCCAAAAAACCCCTCCGTGGAATAGAGGAGCCCAATGTTGTTTTGGTGAAAAAGCATCATGAGACGTGATGGGAAACATTTCTGCATTCTGCCACGCCTCAGGAGAGTATAGCATATATAACATACTGCTATCTATGTAGGTTGGAAAAATTTGTTCTACTTTCAACTGGATAATCATAAGAGGCTTCTTTTTTTCAAAGTGCAACATTCTAAAGGAAACCTCTTATCTGTTTGAGAATTCAATATGCTTTTGGAAACAAAAGAGAATGAAGTCAGCAACCGTAGGTTTCAGAGCAACGCTGATTTTAATAATGTAAACTTCCTTCTCTAACGAGCAATAAGCAGTTCCATCTTTCACAGCCTTTTAAAATTGCTTTGAGTAAGGTACTGGATTGTTTTAATCCTTTTCAGTATGTAAAGCCCCAGATATTTCAATCCCTTAGGGACCTGGTATTTTCTAGCTCCATTCGAAAAGGCAGAGGAAAACAGCTTTCAGAAATTGATGAAATCTGTCACTGATATAATTTTTTTTTTTTTTTTTTTTTAATCCAGAAAGTGACCCAAAAGTGTCATTTAAGAAACAGATCTCTGGCATCCCACCCTGTGGATTAGTAGCAAACAGGCATATCATCTAGGTACAGTAGCTCTTTGTACTCTGACCTAGTTGCTTCTGTTCTGGCTTGTTCCTTCTTGAAAGGTTATTTGGAAGAGATACAGAATTTGCTCATTAAACAGCTCAAGAGTATCACTTGCCACTTGAAGCCCTTCCGTTTAAAATGGACCCTAGCATAGTAGGGGTGCCAACACCCAAAACTCTCTGCTCTGCTGTGTATTCAGAATGGATATTCTAAAATCATGTAAGGTGGTTTATTACAAAAGATGTTCTTCCTAAGGGAAGGTTAAGATAGCCCTGTCTGGGATCTGGCTGGTATTTTTGGGGTTACTGGTTAATTCATCTTTATCATATTACTTCCCATGCTTAGCAATTGGTTGTTGCTGTTGTCCTGTATACACCTGCATTGGTCTTGTGTTAGCTGTTAAAGCAGCTGTGTTTTCTTTCCCCTTAGGTATTTCCAGAAAGTGCCTCAAAGAAGCTTCTTTATGTAGGAAAACTGTGCAAGAAACGTAGTGTGCTTTCTGGCAACTCATGAAGTAGAGCTGTCAAAATGGCAGAAAATAAGGACAATAATATTAAAAACGCAGATGTGAGACCCAAAAGCAGCAGGAGCAGAAGCGCGGACAGAAAGGATGGTTATGTCTGGAGTGGAAAGAAGCTCTCCTGGTCAAAAAAGAGCGAGCATTGTTCTGATGCTGAAACAGCAAGTGCTGAGGGAAGATCAGGGACTAATTTAAGGAGCCAAGAAAGGAAGTATAGCTGCTCGTCTATAGAGTTGGATCTAGACCGCTCGTGTGGTCACAAGTTTTTAGGCCGATCTCTCAAACAGAAGCTGCAAGATGCTGTGGGTCAGTGCTTTCCCATAAAGAATTGTAGCAGTCGGCACACCTCAGGACTGCCATCAAAAAGAAAAATTCATATCAGTGAGTTAATGCTAGATAAGTGTCCTTTCCCTCCGCGCTCGGAGCTAGCTTTTCGGTGGCACTTGATCAAAAGGCATACAGCCCCTATAAGTCCAAAAGCAGAAGACTGGTTAATTGCTGATTTATCCCAGCATGAGGAACGGGATGATCAGCTGCGAGATGATGAGATTGCCAACGGGGGAGTGGACTCTCCCTCCCAGTCCGGTGACTTTACGGACAGCAGTTCCTCTAGGGGTGATTCAAGGTATGAGTTGGTTACAGGTAAGGTGGTAAGGAGCAGTAAAGATGAGAGCGATATGGACTCCGATGATGAAGTTGTAACACTGTGCACAAGCTCTAGGAAAAGAAACAAGCCCAAATGGGAAACGGATGATGAGCTGCTACGGATGGAAACACCTCCAAAATACCATACACAGATTGATTATGTCCACTGCCTAGTCCCAGACCTCCTCCAGATCAATAATAATCCCTGCTACTGGGGAGTCATGGATAAATATGCAGCTGAGGCACTGCTAGAAGGAAAGCCGGAGGGAACATTTTTGTTACGAGATTCTGCCCAAGAAGACTATTTGTTTTCTGTGAGCTTCAGGCGCTACAGTCGTTCCCTTCATGCACGAATAGAGCAGTGGAATCACAACTTCAGCTTTGATGCCCATGATCCTTGTGTTTTCCATTCTCCTGATATCACGGGACTCCTAGAGCACTATAAAGATCCAAGTTCCTGTATGTTCTTTGAACCACTTTTATCCACTCCACTGAACAGGACTTTTCCTTTTTCTCTTCAACATATATGTAGAACAGTTATTTGCAACTGTACAACTTATGATGGTATTGATGCACTTCCCATTCCTCCATCGGTGAAGCTGTATCTGAAGGAATATCATTATAAGTCAAAAGTTAGAGTACTCAGGATTGATGTACCAGAGCAGCAAAGCTAGGAAATATTTTTGTGAAAGAATGAGATTGTCTCTAAGCAGACAAATAGTATGTTCAGTCTTTCTTCCTTCTATGGTGTGTTTTTTTAATAGCAATTTGGTTTATTTCTTTTTCCTTCCTTCAGATTATTTACCACCCGAAGGAGCCTCTGTCTAAGGCTCTTTTATCCAAATGTACTTTGATTCTTCACAGCTCTCTTTTTTAGAAATGGTATTCCTTGTGGGCTTTTGGTACTGTTCCCAGACTAGAGTTTTATGGAATTTCAGGTAGGCTTTCTGGTATTTCTATAGGTAGGTAGTCTTTAGATCTTAAAAAAAAACCTAAAAATCAGTTTTGAACTTGATCTTTTTTATTGTAATTTACATGTGTTGCTGACATGTTTGAGATAATGCACTGTTAACTAAAGATTGACTCATTTGTATTTTCTGCATTTCTTTTGAGTGCTCTACCCTCTGTGTGCGTGTCTGTCTGTCCATCCATATCTAATACAGCAAATTCATCAGTCTATTTCTAACATGACTATTCCAAGCAAAATGAAGTTTGAAAGAGGATATGATCTTTCTATAAATATGTCAGGAGACTAAACACCAGGGAGAGGGAAAAAGAATTCAAGTTAAGGACAACACTCAGTACAGGAACAAACTTGTATAAACTGGTTGTGAAAAGATTTTGCTTGGAAAAGAAAAAGCTTGTCCCCATCAGAGCAATGCAGTTCTGGAACAGCTTTTCATTTTGTATAATAGCAGTAAAAAGCAAACTACTCGTAAATTGGGATTTGATCAGTGTCTGGAAGGGATAATGGTACACTTACTAATGATACATGGGGCTTGGACTTGGTAACTGTTTCTGTGTTACTCTTTCATTAGAAATACCCAGTTTTCACTAAAAGAGCTGCTGCTTCTTATATGCTAAAGCACAGAGGGAGAGAATGAAGATATTTCCTTAAAAATCTGCATATTAAACTATCTGATCTTGCATGGTTGATCCTAAGGTGAAGATCAATAACTTTTCTACTTTGTCAGTAGGAGAGTTGGTATTTTAATAAGTATAGTTAAAAAAAGTCTGGAGCTTTTTCTTGCAACGTGAAGCATTTGGTCGAATGGCCTCCTGCCAAATTCCATGTACGGGAAAACCATGCATGGATAATGCTTCTAAAAGCATTACTTACATTACATGGATAGGAAGATCTGCTGCTGAATTACTGGTGAAATCCCACCGAGACTCAGTGGATCTGTGTTCAGGCAAGAAACTATTGCTTTCCAGGCTGGCCTCGAGGCAGAGGCACAGCTCCAGGAGGTGCAGGAGCAGCCTGTAATTCTGTTGTATCCATCTGTATGTGCTTCATTTCTATCTGAATCTTTTAATTTCACCTTGTACAGAATCCGACAGGTTTGTAGACATCAAATCTGTCCTTCAGGCTGGGTACTCTGGAGTTAGCAAAGAAGATTTGGCACGCAACTCCACCTGCCACCTGTCTTGTCCCCTCCCTGAGCAAAGAAAACCTTTTCCACTGAACTGCTGTCACTGTGATGATGTAAACACATTTCTAGGGACATCTGCTTAGAGACCAGCCTGTTTGTTTTCACCGTGTTTTAAATAGGTTTTGAACCAAAGTCTCCAGGGAGAAAATGCTAACACATCAATCTATGGCATCACACGTGGATGGATATGCTACAGGACAAACTCTCAGCTGCTATAAATCAGCGTGGCTTTATTGATACACTTATACCAGCTGAGATTCTCCCTCCTCCATATGCAAACGTAATAGCATGACTGATGTCAGAAAAATTACCCTTTTTTTCTGTCATCTTTTCCTTGCGCTGCTTCCATTCAACTGACATTGCCTTTTGCATAAGCTGTGTTTTATCAAGGCCAGCTTCATACTAGTAAATCCCTTTTTCCCCCCTATCACTACCATTTTCCAAATACAAAGTGAGTGAGCAGGAGGGTTCATCTCCGCTCTGTTCTTTTCCACAGCACCCATCATGGTGCAGTGGTGGGCTGTGGTTTGCCATGGCTGCAGTGCAAAGTCAAAGTCTTGACTTCACAGAGTGACATCAGAGATATTTGCAATCTGCTTCACTAAAATTCTCTTTCAGAAACTCTTAATTAGGGCAAAACACTCATCATTTTAGAGAGAGATTAGCATTATTATTTCAAGAACACAAAAAATAGATTTTGACCAAAAGTCATACTTGAAAGTTAGCAAAGGCCACCACCTCTTTCAAAACCAGCAGATTTTGTCCCTTGAAAATGAAAGGCCGTTAAGCAACCTTTTTGGGGGGTATAGTTCCCTGATGCACTGTGTTTTCAGTGTCATAGGCAGCCTACATTGTTTTGACATTAGTCGATGCATCACTTACCCAAAAACTTCTTGAGCACTCCAAATTTAGGAGACCTATATAATACAGCAGTTGGGGGAAGAAGGTGTGGTGCATAAAAATAGTGCCTTTGGACTGTGGGCCAGTTAACTGCGTTTATTTAGAGGAAATCAGATGTAGAAAATACTGACAAATGAGCTTTTGTGGAAATTCACCCCATTCTTTCCTGTTTTATTTGTCCAGATCATACCTGTGTGACATTTGTACCTAATGCCATTGAGTTGTGTATACATGTGCAGTCTGAGAAAGATCTGTTTCATGAAGTATGCATTTTTTTGTGAAAGAACTCAAAAGATCTATTTTGCTTAAATCCAAGTACCCTTTTATCTTTTCTCTCTTTTTTCTTTTTCTTTTCCTAAGACTTGTAGAAATTAATTGATTTTACAGTATGCCAAAAATTGTGGCCCTAAATTTTTCCTCCCACAGCTGCCATTAGCAGTCTTACCAGTGCTGCTCACTCAAATAATCTAACACCTTGATCTGAAGTGTGATCCAAAGGTAGCCAACTCTTTGAAGTTCAGTGTTAAAGCCCTACAAAACAATTAGTCTCAGAAACAGGAACTTCCATTTTCTAAATCCAAGCTCTTGCAAGATGGAGATCCCAAGTTCTTCAGCATAAAGATTAAACTTGGAATGAGGAAAATATGGAGGTGTGTGGAAAAACACATGCTCAAGGCTACACAGCAGGTCAGTCAGTTGAGTGAGGACACAATCCAGAGGTGACCCTGGCCACAGCCCCTCCATTTAGGGGTAGCTACCTGTCATTGGGAATTGTATGCGTGTGACGTGGTTTGTGTTGGTCTGTAGGTGATTCCATAGGAGGATAGTATGAATACAGCATATTGAGTCAGTGTGAGCAGCTTCGGGTAAGAAAAGAGATCTGATTTTGATAAAATTATTCCGATATGGAGGGGCGGGAAAAGGTCAGGTTCTTGGTGCACACTGGACAAACAACATACACTAGCTATTTTTACAGGATGGTTTAAAAAAATTAAATACTCTTTCCAATAATTGTGTTCTCTGGAGTTTGCTTTTGCTTGAAGTGACTTTTTGCAGCTCTATAGTCATGCCAGGCGTTGGCCCAGTGCCGTGAACACAGAGCAACTTCAGCTCCATTGATGGATTTGGTGGTTTGTGTGCCCGATAGTTGGGAGTACACATTTCTTCTCCATTTTCCTATTCTCAGCACTTGTCTTGAAGAAATACAGGTCACAATTAGAGCAGGATGTCTGTATCTATAGTAGCATATCCAGCGTGAAAAGAAAACAAATGCGTGATCATAACTGAAATGCTTTCCTTTCAATGATACCAGTGTGTTTCCAATATAAAGAAGAAATCCTTGTATGATGCAGTCATGCATGGCTTTACTGTAAAATTGACATGCTCTTAAATAATTAAGAGGGGGGATGCTTTAATTTGGAAAAAGGATGCTGAAGGAAGGAGGTTAAAGGAAGCTTTTAGTCAGCTCTAGTCTTAGATTTATTGATCTAGTGATCAATCCCTTTCTCTTTCCTGAATTTAAAGCTAATGGGAGACTGTGGTCAGAGATGAGTGGCTTTTAGTTAAGGTTTTTGACTCTTATAAATAATACAACAAATCTCCTAGTAAGTAATAAGATATAAGATACTCCCTCATTCTTTTTAAATAGAACAAATGTGGCAAACAAGACTCAGCTGTAATTTTTGAAGTCATTTATTAGACAAATTGCTCCTCTCTACTTCTTTTACAAGAGAGACATAAACCATTATATTATTTATTCATGAATCATAGCCATTAAGATGATAAATCAAATTATCAGCTTCCTGTCTGTCTTCAGTTTTAATCATTTTTTATAGTTCATGCAATATGAAGACAACTTCCTTCCTATGAAACAAGAGACCTTCAGAGACCTTTTTATTGTAAACGCACATTTCCTTCCCATTTTTAAGTATATCCTAGTGATTTTCTCTGTCAATTTTATCTGCAATAAAAATCCAATAAGGAACTTGTCCATTGATTCACTGTAGGAAAGGTAGCTATGAAGTAAGTGATTTTGGTTAACCTCTGAAATAATGGAGCACTGGAAAACACAGTTAAAGGATTTTTTTTCTGCCACCCCTAAACGTGCATGATACTATCATACATTTAATAGAGATAAATAGTTAATAGAGAGAAATCTTGACACAAGCTCACATACTCATGGTAAGGCCTTTCTCAAAAGGTTTAATGTGACTCTGCAGTAGTATCACTTTTAAAAACACATTTAAGCTTACTTTCTTTGCTACATTCACACAGAAAGAATGTCTTTGCCTCTTCCCATAAGGTGGGAGAGCTATGGTTACTTTGTATGAGCTGAGATGGTTTCTCACATCCTTTCTTCGCTTGTTTTCTCTCTGCATGTCTGGTTCAGCATCTAAAGCAGTCATAGGATGAGCTGCACATGACATGGTGTGGGTGGAGAAGTCATCCATTCAGAAAGAAATGCACATTGATTTCCATTCCAAACACTGGCAGCTAACTGGTTTTAAACTTGATTGTCCTTGTTAAATACTACTCTCAGGAAGCACTGATGAGGTCAGAGTTACTGAAGATAGAAAAGGAGCCTCTGCATCATTAGAAATACTTGTGCTACAGTGTAAAAATCAATACTTGTTTACTCAACTCTATGAATAATAGAGTTTTGAATGTAAATTTATAATTTATGCATCTGAAATCTATAGCATGGGGCTGACGTGAGGTGCAGTAACTTCCATCTTTACATCCATTTTAAGAATCCCCTGGGTGTCTGAGTGATGTGTTATCTGGCCAAAACACATCCTCAGCCCAGCCTCCCTGCAGGCAGGTCATTACAACACCATTCTTCAGGGATCCTGCTGAATGCCCCAAGGATGTCCTCACATGGACTTTGGTTGCTGGGGAGAATCCCTCAAACAGTGTGTTTAGGACTGGTCAGAGGGTGTTGCTCTGCAGTTGCCACAACAGAGCCACGGCATAATTAAAAGTTATAGCACTCATTAGCCCATGCCCATTAAGGATGTCTGGCCACTGTAGAGGGACAAAGCCAGGGACTCTTCCCCCCACCAGTGTGGAGACACTGTCTGGCTAGTGGGATATGAGGATGCCAGGGGAGGTGCCAGGCAGGCAGCACACCTGCACATTCCCACCACGGTGGAGACATCTTTTTGCAAAGAGCATGCCCTGTAAAACCCAAAACTGCTTCTCTCCCTCTCTTTTTCCTGTGCTTGTGGCTCTTGTACATCAAAACAATGCAGCCGAAGAAACACTGTACTTGCGTTATGTACTGTAATCTACCAGCACAAAGCCATTGCTGGGAAGTGCCAGTGTAAGAAGGGTTTGAATCCAGCTTTGAGATAGGAGGCCCTGTTGGTGACCTGGGAGCTCTTCCATCTTATTTTCTTTATTTTTCTTTGTAATTTTTTTTGGGGGGGGGGACGAATCTTAGTAATTTCTTAATACTCACATTCAGCCATTAGCTCAGAGCATCTCTGAGTTTGTCTCAATTGAACAGGTTCATTGCCAGACCTTTTTTTTTTTTGCAATATGCATCAACTGGAATAGGCTACAGTCCATTGCTTGAACTAACATGGGATTTTTTTGTCCAAGAGAAAGGCTGGGTTTGTCCTTTTTAGCACTACATGATTGTATTTCTAGGTCAGGTCTTTATTGTGCAGTCACATGAAGTTTCAATTTGGACAAAACACCCAGTAAGGGTCTTGATGCTTGATGCTGTTATGATTAGAAAGTTGTCTAATCAAATTTTGTTTCCAATTAAAAAAGATTGAATTAGCTCTCAGACTGAGCCCTTAGCTGTTATTTTTAGTCTACAACTAATGAACCCCTGAAAATAGAGTGTATAATGAAAATACAGTGATTGCTTCTGCTGGGATGGTTGGGAAAATACATTAACAGATCAGAAAGGGTAATAAATCTTTCGTCACAACCTTCCTCATTAAACTAGATAATTTGAAATTGCCTCCAGTGTATTAAACAGTTCATTATTTTGTAGGGGAGCAACACACAAGACAAAAGAGTAGTGTTCCTTCAGTGTTCTTTTAATTGATAGCCAAAGCCTGGAAAAAGAAAGAAAAAAAAAGAAAGATCAAGCAAATTTAGTCATGAAAAATCCATCTGAGCACTGGCTGTGTTGCTGCACAACTTGTTCAAAGCCATCCCAAACTTCACATCCTCTGACTTAGGGGGAGGAGAAAGGCCCAGAAAGAAAACCGTAACCTTGGCTGTGTCATAAGCAGCGTGGCCAGGAGGTCAAGGCAGGGGATTCTCCACCTCTACTTTGCTCTTGTGAAAGCCCACCTGCAGTCCTGTGCTCAGCTCTGGGATTCAAAAATAAGGACATGGACCTTTTGGAATGAGAAGGCCATGAAGATGCTTTGAGGGCTGAAAGCACCTCTGCTGTGGAGACAGGCTGAGAGAGTTGGGCTTGTTCAGACTGGAGAAGGCTCCAGGGAGAATTTAGAGCATTTTCCAGTGCCTCAAGGGGCCAACAAAAAAGCCAGAGAGGGGCTTCTTAGAAGCGCCTGTAGGGACAGGACAAGGGGGAATGGCTTTAAACTGACAGAGGGCGGATTTAGATTAGATATTAGGAAGAAGTTCTTCCCTGTGAGGTTGCTGAGGCGCTGGCACAGGTTGCCCAGAGAAGCTGTGGCTGCCCCATCCCCGGCAGTGTTCAAGGCCAGGTTGGTCAAGGCTTGGAGCAACCTGGTCTGGTGAAAGGTGTCCCTGCCCATGGCAGGAAGGTTGGAACTGGATGGTCTTTAAGGTCCCTTCCTATCCAAACCATTCTATAACTCTATGATAATACTGTGGGAGAGTGTACAGTGGAACAGAATAGCTCTACTGTAGTTGACATAGTGGTTTTCTCCACCTGCACAGTTGCAAAATTAGGTAATTTCAGGTTTTTAGATATTTTTCTGATGGTTTTAGCACATTAGAAATGAACAGGCCCCAGAATTTATCAGCACCTTAGTGTTATTCAGAGGCATCTAATACTTCGAAGAGGCAAAGGGTGCCATCAGCCTAAGGGAAGAGTCTGCAGGAGCACAAAGGATAACCTGAGTGGAAAAGGACAGCTAGGAAGGGGAGTCTGGGGTGACAGCTGGACTGAGAAAGGAAGCCAGTGCCAGGGTGCAACAGGGACTTTTCCCTGTGTGGCTGGCTGTGACCTCTTGTCAGTAGGAATATGAAATCTCCACCCTGGTGTTTTTGCCTAGGAATATCTCTGTGTGATCTTCAGCCTCCTCAGAAATTCCTCACTTTTCAGGACATCTTTGGCCTGGCGAGCTGGGAGCTGAAAGCATGCTGAAGGCTTTTCTTGTCTGTGTCTTTACAGCAAAACATTGGCATTAGAGTAGAAGATGCCTGAGATGCTGCCAAGGTAAGACACGGTTGGCGAGAGGGACATCCTGTCATTTTTATCCTCCTGTCAGTTTTATACTCTCTCAGCCAAATTATACCTTGGTGTGGTGCTTCTGGCTCTGGTATCCTTGTATACAAGAAATCTTGGTCCTTTGCCTAAAGAGAGGGAAAGGACAAATGTGAAGGGGAAAGAGGAGAAGATTTTATCAGTGAAGACACATTCAAAGGTGGCAGTAAGTTGGAGGGCATGAGTTTGGTCCATCAGCTACAAGGCACTTGCCCTTCGTTGATTCACTAAGAACACAAGCATTTCAAGATAAGCAAAAAAAAAACCCAACCAAACTGTTCCCTGTTTGAGCAAATGCCTCTTCCTGAGTCCTCTCCTCCAAATGAGTTAAAATAAAGATCAGCTCTCACCCCCTTCCCAGCCAGCCCTTCTCAGGCATGAGTGATGCTTGGTTTCTGCTGGATATTCCCTCCCGACAGGATCTTCTGCTACCACAGGTACAATCCATTGGTACAAATTACCTGAGTGGGCGGCAGATTCTTGGCTAGACAAAAGACTAGCCAAGGAATAAAAGGATCTTTTCTCTCACATGAGCCGCGGTGATGTGTGAACATTTAGGTATTGTGCTTCA